GTAACAAATTTTCACTAATAATCAGTCTCAGACTTCTCTTTCTTTTTCTCTTTCTCTTCCCCCATCCTGTTCATTATATAGTTGAACTTGGATTGCTAATCATCCACTATATATTGCTTTTTTATACTTTATCTTCAGTTATTATGTGTACATTTTCACATAATGCCAGCTAGTTTGGTACTGCATATTATTCTGAAATGGCTAAATGCAAAAACCTACTCTTATGATTGATAAAATGGTTGTTGTGAAAAGCATACATATTTTATTTCCTTGGTATTTTATTCTTCGGTTATTGCTGACTCTTATTTCAAACAAGCATATTTGGAATTGGGATTAGTTAAACTTCTCTGTTTGAGCAAAGATAAGGTTTATTATTTACAGCAGCATTTCTGTAGCAGCCTTTGGACCATTGCAAAATCTTATCCCATTTTCTTCTCACAACAAGCCTGTGAGGTAAATCTGATGATAAAACAAACTGTGGTTCAAATTGTGGCTGAACAGGAAGTTGAATGAAAGGCCAAAATATTTATCTTTTTTTGTCATGTTACTCCTACATTTTACCCCTAGAAGCAGAATATTCTTTTGAATACTTTATACTTTCTTCAGAACTGAAATCTGGTTAGCAACTGTTTTCTTGTTAGCACAAAGAGCCAGAGATAGCATGGCTAACTTTCAAAATTATTTTTAGTGTGTTTGCACATGTATGTTTGTGTGTGAGGTAAAGGTAAAGATACCATTGAGCTGCTTGACTCCTATGGGTGTGTGTGAGGGAAGTTTTATTTTTTAAAATGTCTAATTTGTATTTCAGAAATCTAAATGAAGGGCAGCTTATTTAGATTCAGTTTTTCTTCCCTCCCTCCCACCTTTCCCTGCTTATCCGTCATGCTTAGATCTGGTGAACAAAATCCAAACAGCATTTATCTTTCCAGGCTATTCTGGAGCCCTGCTTGGAAATTAATTTCAGCATGGCTCGCAGGCTGTAAGAAACAGGGTAATCTCATGTGTTTTTCTATGTACTGGCTTCTGTGCTTCTCCTGGAGTGATTCTATCATTTTCCCTCCTGCCCGCCCTTGACATCCTTCACTGAGTAATGACTTTGCAGTCACTGTGTACATGCACAGAATGAATTCAGGGCCAGTTCTTCATAACTGTGCACTGTAATCTATCCATATACCCTATTGTCTTGGCTTGGCTTGGCAGACAAATCATGTCACCGATGCCACAGTAATTTGCCAAGTTTTTTTTTTAATCAAGATATTTTCTAGCTGCTGGAATGATACTTATCCCAATCTAAATATTCTTTATATCTATTTTCCTTTCAGGTGGGAGCAGGGTGGGAGGTGAGATAAATAGAAGCCGGACTGAGGTACAAAGTCTTGTTCAAGAGAAGTCAAAAGAGAAGGAATAAAAAAACAAAAGGCAATTAGGGAGTTGAATACAGATGTCCATCAATGCCTTATTCTCAGTGAGATTTTGATTTATGTTTTACTGATGCACAAATAGCTCAGTTTGTCCAATGTATCTACATGAGCTGAATTGGGCCATATATGAGCAAAGCTTAATACACATCATAAACAAGCAAAGCAATAAGTTTCTTATGAGTTATAATTGGCTATAATAATTCAGAAAAGCAAAGAGATTTCTGATTGCCTGTGGACATTTTTCTAGACATCTGCTTTCCTATGAAAAGGGAAAGCAGAAAAGTCTGAAAACAGAAAGACAGGTTTCCTACTTCTGTGTGTTCTTTCCACTATTCATTTAAAATATGAACGCCCAGCTGGCTGGAGAATTCTGGGAGTTGAAGTCCACAAGTTTTAAAGTTGCCTAGGTTGGACACCCTGATTTAGAACCTTAAAACTGAAGTGAAGGCTCATGTTAATAGGACAGCAAAGTTGATTCTCTCTTATTGTTCAAGGCACATAGCAAAGAAGTAATCTGAATAAATGCTTTGCTTATACCCATGATCAGAACCATAGTTTCAGAGAGCATTTTGTTTTGTTTTGTTTTGTTTTATTCATCCTCCTCTGTCTTTAACTTCAGCCTGTCATGCCTTAGAGTAGGGGTCCCCAACCCCTGGTCCATGGACCCGTACTGGGCTGTGGCATGCCAGCAACCAAGCTGCCCAAACAAGCAAAGCCCCATCTGTGGGATGCAGGCAGCACATAAAACCACGCCCCCCTCTGGTCTGCGGGAAAACCTCTCTCCACGTAACCGGTCCCTGGTGCCCAAAAGGTTGGAGACCTCTGCCATAGAGTGAAGTTGACCTGTGAGTTCCATTTGATAGAATCTGTGTTGATCTTTGGTTCAGTGGAAACCAAATGTTTTGACAGAAATATAGAAATCAGAAATCTGTTACTTTATGGATCAAAAGATAATCATGGGACATAGTCATGGTCTATGAAATAAATAAAATTAGATAACTACGAGCTATCTTTGTAAATGTTTCTGTGATCATGAGGTATATCTGTGTAAGAAAGTTAATGTTTGTTCCAGCTTCCTTAAATTGATATTTTATAAAGAAAGGTATCAGATAACATCCTGGATCTTTATACAATAACAGCTTTTGCCTTTTTGACCCAGGTGAATGGGTACTTCTATCTGGTAAATACAGGTAGAGTGTGTATGTATATGTTTATGCAGCTATGTATACTAGTTAAGTACATCTCCAAATAACAATAAAGTGAAAAGAATCATTTAGACAATCAGAGATTATTGAGGAACATGGAATATGGATGGAAAAATGTACAGTTTTGAACATTCAAATCAAGAAAAACAAATGGGACTGTGATCTGAAATTTAGAGCAATACTGAAGGAAAAGTTATGCCCCTGCATGATCGTTATCACTCAGCATGGGGATAAGGAATTAAAATCACTACAAAATGATCCAGGTAGATTATTTACCCCAATTTCCTACTCAAGAATAAAATGAGAAAAGTTCCATTCAATTGAAAAAAAAAGTCATTTGGTGTGAATTCAAGAGATTCATTTGTAGGTATATGGACTGCTGGTTCTTTTTTGAGTATTCTGATCAGCTACTTAAAGTTTGAGGGATACCCTGGAATACATGCGCCTTGTCTTGGTTAAGATTGCAAATTTTAGCGATCATAAGGGACGTTCAATATATTTTGTGGAACAAATACAAGAAGCATTTAAAAAGATGGATAGGCCTCCTCCCCCACCCCCCCAAAAAAGAACATGTTTTAAATAATTGGGAATGAAACATCTTGGGTTTAAATTAAGTTCTTCAGATTTTTTTCCCGAAAGCAGACCTGTAAGAAAACGAATTCTTCCAATTCCCCACCCCCAGAAAGGATCTACCTGAAAACATATCTAAATATGCGACCGGCAATCCTGCTGTTGTCCCATTGGGACAATAGGATTTGCCTTATACAGCTTTCAAACTATTAGTTCTTGGAAAAATTCTGAAAAACAACAACCAGTCTAATTTTCCACAGAAAAACTGATGAGAAACTTTAAGAAAAACTGGGCAGATTCCACCATAGTACATTTGTGGATGTCCTCATTATTGCAAAATCCAAAATCTTCTCTATTCTCTAGTTAAATTGGAAATACTTGGACTGCACGGAATTTTTTTATTTTGTTTTTGCTCAGAACTCTGAGAAGTTGCTATAAACTGACCTAACAATTTGTTGGAGAACATGCTTGTTAAATAAATGAAAGAATCTTCGTTCTTTTTGAATGCCAGTTTATAAAGCCTCTAAGTCAAACTTTGAATAATAGCTGAAAGCTATGACTGGAGTTCCTAAGGTTGGTTTAAACTTAAAAATGGGAATTGTGGCAGGCCTTGGATTAAATAAGAGCAATAAGATTGGAAATGTGTAAACCCTTTTCCTAATTTATAGTTGGGAATAGTTTCAAATCCAGATCAGTTCAGTGACTATTTCTCTCAAGTTAGGTCTTTTTCTCTTTGCATAGCTCTTTTTACCCTTATTTAGAAAACAACAACAACTCTTTTGCCCCTTCCACACATCTCCAAAAGAGTCTGCAGGAGTTAACATGAAACAACGTCAGATTTTGAAATAATCCTCAAGATAATTTTGACAGGGAAATGGTCATTGTACACAGGCTACTTCACTATCTGTAGTAGGTGGAGCCCAGTAAAATACCTAGGATCAGGTAGGCTATAGAAAAGTAAATTAGTCTGGAGAATCATCCTACTCATAGGCCACCTTAGTTTAAACCAGCTTTCTATTTCACTTATCTGGTGACATATAAATACACAGGCTACATTCACACATCACACTAATCCATGGTTTGAATCATGATTTTTTAAAGCAAGCCATGCAACATGCAAAGCCAGAAATCATGGTTTTCAAGCCACAAAGGCTGGGTTTGTACTCCGAACTATGCCAAAGTGAAACAAGCCACATTATTGCTCCGTGCCATATGTAAACTTAGCCATCAGCTTCTTTCTTAAGATTCCTGTAACCCATTGCCCTCTGGTAATTTTGCCAAGAGCTTTCCAGCAGAGTGAAGCATCCAATTATCCTTTACCTGTCACTGTTTGCCTCCCTTACACCAACCCCCTGGCTAGTAACCTTCACGGCAGACTCAAGAGACAACTTCAGCCTCATATTTTACATTGATACAGCCACCCAGCTGAGGAGCAGATGGTGCCGACAAGCTTCAGCAGCCCTGTTTGGATTTATCTTGGCTCGTAAGTTGCAGTATTTCACCCAGGAGTATGATGTATATCTTTTTCTATCAGCAAAGAGCTAAGCCAAAACCATTCCTTCCTTATAAATCCCCCAGTTGTACACAAAAAAATGAGATGACCTTTATGGCTGAAATATTGATTGCCACCAACTAGGCTACACAGATCATATTTCCCCCTCTCTTTTTTCTACTCAAACTATTGGCAATCGAAATGCAATGCAATAATTCCCAATCACAGCTAATCCACTGAAGGAAACAATTACTACCTTCCCACCCTGTCCCTTGAAACTAAAATGTGGCTTCTTGTGGTCATTGTAAATACCTGATCAGAATGGAGACCCCAACATCCTCGCAGTTCGCATAGACTCTGTTCCACGTCTCTTGAATCACCTTCCTTTCGGCATCTGACAGCTCTTCGCTTCTTTCCCATCTCTCAATCTCCATTTCTCCTTGGTCTTTCTCCATGAAAAACAGCCAGCAAAATCTTCCAAGGAAGCCAAGAGAATAAAAAGATGTGTGAGTCTGTTGCTCTGTGGGTTTTGTCTGTGTATGTTTGTGTGTGTGTGTGTGTGTGTTTGTGTGTGTCCAGCAAGAAGAGATAAGGTGCTCTGTTGGGTTGTGATGGGGTGGCTGATACTGCTCTTGCCTTCTTCCCTGGGTCTGAGTGGCTTCCTATATAGACAGACCGAGATATGTAAGAGAGGTAATTAGGGAGGGAGATGGTGTGTGATCAGATTTCAGATCTTCTAGAGCAGCCCATTGCTGTGGTTTCCTTCAGCTCAGCATGTGTGTGTCTGCATGACTCGGAAGAGAAACTGGCAAAAAAGTAGAATATTCAAAGGCACTGCAAGACCAGCCTCTTTACCAATGTGAGAATGTGAGCTCACTTTTCGCTCTCCTCCCCTCCCCTCCCCTCCCTCCCTCCTCCTCCTCCTCCTGTGTGTGCATTTGTGGGTGAGTGAGTGAGAGGGAGAGAGGGGGAAAATCAGTGTCAAAAGCTCCTGCTTTGACTATTTTATGCCTTGTATGCTTGCTCTGTTTTCTGCATCTGGCAAATGGCTTGGAGAAAATGCAGCATCTGAAGTGAGCAGTTAAACTTATCCCAACAGCTGGCTTAGCTGAGATGATCTTTTTTATGGCTTCCCACCCCCCAACATCTGCTTAGATTGTTTTTATCAACAGCAGCAAAAAATTCCTTATCTCTCAGGGTTCCCCCCCCCTTTTTTTTATTTGAGGGAGGGAGAACTGGGAGGAAAAAGACACTCTTGAATCAATGTTTATCTTTTGCACCATCTGAATTATATCTTTCCTCTGAAGGAATGTTTCTAATTATACAAGGCTTGTTTTTTTTTTTTACTTCCTTCTTATCTGTGAATCAGATATTAGAGAAATAATCTGGTTGAAAGCACTTGTGAAAGAAATAGATTGGAGATAAGATGGCTTTTTTCAGTCAAGAATGAAGGAATAGATTAAAGCGAATATTGCTGCCTTGTGGGAATACTAGTAGATTGGCTCAATGTGTTTGTTTGTTATTTCAACTTGGATTAGAAATATTTACATTTAACTCATTTTGTTCTCTCTGTCTCCCTTTCTCTTTCTCATATGCAGAACTAATTTAGCCTTCCAAGAACTGATGCCTTCTAGGTTTGGGGATTATAACTCTCAGAACTCAGAATTACCTAAACTTGCTTTTGGCTAGAACCAACAAATTAGTTCTGTATAACTAATTTGGGCTATAGTAGTCTGTTACCCTCCTGGTCAAATTACCTGGGAATGGTGACTATCTTGGAGTAGGAGCCATAAACTAAATCAAAAAGAGCTGGAAAATGTTGATCCTGCCCAGGAGATCCTATCTTTGAGAGTTACTTTCAAAAGAAATAATGTTCTGGATCAGAGCCCTCGTGACAACAACAGAGAGAATAACATTTGCTCAGTTGGAATCAAGCCCTTATAAAATTGATGTCCCCATTGAGCTTCCTGCTGGACAGCTCCCCTTCTAACCTGAAAGTAATTATTTTTGACTCCTAGGGTTGCTCCTGGCTAAGTTGTCTAGCCAGCAAGAGTGGCAGGAATGACATATGTTGTTTTTCATAGAGGGCAGACACCTCCTCCCAAATTGCAGACAGGATTATTCCAAAGAAGCACCAATATTTCTCATCAATACTTTGTCAAGTTCTATTTGCGCTTATCCTCCTTGGAAACCATTGAAATATCCAGGACTTTTTTTCCTCATAGAACGCCCAGAACGGAGTTCTGGCACCTTTTTTGGATGGAACCTTATAGGGTAGGCAAGGCGGGTTGTATGACGTGTGTGAGTTCCGGCACCTTTTTTTTTTTTTTTTTTAAGAAAAAAAGCACTGGAAATATCTATCCATGCCAAAACACAAATCCTATTACTGTGAAAACTACAAGAAAGTTTACCTCAATGGACATTATGTGCTGCTGTATTTAAATGAAATGCACTACTTTTTCAAAAAAGGTAATCCTTTGGTTATATTGCCGGGTACATTGTAAACATTCTGTTTGTTAAGATTTTGTTACAGTTTCTTATCTCAGAGCACTGAAAGCACTTTGACACCCCCCCCCCCCATTTCAGAAGGAAGAGCTTGTGGATTAACATGGATTTTGGCTCCTAAGAAAATTCTTACCCATTTACCAATCTTCTGGGAGAAACAGCCTAGCGGACTAGGAGAGCCGCTTAATGTGGCCTTAATAAAGAACTGCATCTCTAGAATTCAGCTGACTCAAATAGTGAAGCATTTTTTTAAAAAAATCAGCCCAAGCTAGCAGAAAATATGATACAGATCTGTATCATAACTCAGGCATTTAAATCTTCTTTAACAAGACAACATGTTTCCCAGGAAATTGGGAAGATAAGGGTGATAGAAGGGGCAAGATTGAAGCTTAAAGTTGAAAAGAAACATGATAAAGTAATAACTATTTACTCAATGAGTTTGAATCTCCAGGGCTAGATGAATAGCATCATAGGATATTGAAAGAACAAAATGATAGGATGACTAATTATGAGAATAACAATGATCATAACCACAAATAATCACAAATTTAAAGAAGGAAAATAAGGACCTGCTGATTTATGGCCAGTTAATCCGATATCAATATTTGGAAAGATTCTAGAGATTCATCTGTGAGGACTTGAAAATACAGTAATTAATAGGTCAGCATAGATTTGTTACCAGACTAATTTCACCTCATATTTTGATTGGGTAATAGAAACATATTCAAATGGAGTTTTTTTTTCACCCAAATTCCCCAAAACCAGTTGATTTTAATGCATAACAGTAATGGGAGAAGGAATAACCTTGAGGAACAGAAGGAAGACCCACTGCCAAGATAACAGTCAGGTAAAAGAAAAATGAGTCATGCTCAGAACTTTAACCTGAGTAAGCATTTCAGTCAAGATTCTCCCTAGTTCTCAGGAAAATAAAGGGAGGGAAGGAGGAAGTGCATTCAGACTTGCAAGAGTCTGTTATTATAACAGAAGTAATAAAAGTAGTATTAGCATTCATAACTTTGGTTTCTGAATCTGCTTCACCTTGAAAAGCTGCCAATAACAGAGAAGTATCGAACTCGTGTGAATATTTTGTTCTTCACATTAGCAGGGAATATTGCATGTGGCACAGATACAAGTGAGGTTGATAATGTAGTCCAGTGTTTCTCAACCTTGACAATTTTAAGGCATGTGGACTTCAACTCCCAGAATTCCACAGCCAGCATTGCTGGCTGTGGAATTCTGGGAGTTGAAGTCCACATGCCTTAAAATTGTCAAGGTTGAGAAACACTGATGTAGTCTATATCTCTTCAACATTACTGAAAAATATTACCTGAACGTTTGATTGACCAGAGCTATAGTGGGAGGTGGGAGGTCTCCAGAGACTGTCTCCGGAGATAACCATGGACGTAAAAGGAGTAAAGAGCACGAAAGGAAGAAAATGAAATGAAAAACAAATAGATTTTTGTGTGAGAGACACAAAATAGAAAATGGGGGATGTAAACAATCCGAAAGAAGCTGGTCCGAATGTGTGGAATTGATGAATACATGCAGGAAATTGAAACTGTAGGTTTACAATGTCAATAACTATGAATTGGCATCATTTAGATTGCTGTAAAGAAAAGTATGGATCTATAGATTATGCTCCAGTTGGTGATAATAATGAAAGAACAAGAGATGTATTTTGGGGGCAACTGTGTAATGTTCAGAATGAATGTAATCCAGATGAAAATAGTTTCATTCTGGGACATGAATGGATAGATAGGAATGAGAAGAAACAGTAAGGAAAATATGAATGGGGCATTTAGGCATCTGAAAATAAATTAGAATGGTGATTGGAGAACATTATTTTTTTAAAATATGTTTCTTTCCAATATGTATTCATATGTACACATGGCAAGGATATGAACATAAATAAAGTATGATTGATTTTATTATTTCTAATAAACAACTAAGGGAATTCATGATGAAGAAATGGAAGAAAAAGAAGAAGTGAGGCAAATTAGTTGAAAGCAGAATCATTGCAGGAGGAGAAAATCAGAGCGTCATATGAAAAAGTAATCTCTCAGCAAAATGAATAGAAAATAGAGGTAAGGAAAGAAAATGTGGGAGCTACATGAAACACTTATGGGACACAATGTCACCATGTAATGGAAAATATGAGAAAGAAATGTTTGGTAGAATAGTAAACCATTATGTAAAAACTTAATCCATTACTTGGATGACAAAAATAACAGAATAACACAGTTGCAAGGGATGTTGGAGGTCATCTAGTCCAACCCCCTGCTCAGGTAGGAAACCCTATAGGGGTTGGACAAATGGTTGTCCAATCTCTTCTTAAAAACCTCCACTGTTGGAGCACCCACAACTTCTGGAGGCAAGTTAGTCCACTGATTAATTGTTTTAACTATAAGGAATTTTCTCATTTCTAGGTTGCTTCTCCACTTGGTTAGTTTCCATCCATTGCTTCTTGTCCTGCCTTCAGGTGTTTTGGAGAATAGCTTGACTCCCTCTTCTTTGTGGCAGCCCCTGAGATATTGGAACACTGCTATCATGTCCCCCCTCGTCCTTCTCTTTGTTAAACTAGACATACCCAATTCCAGCAACCGTTCCTTATATGTTTTAGCCTCCAGTCCCCTAATCATCTTTGTTGCTCTTCTTTGCACTCTTTCTAGAGTCTCAAAATCTTTTTTATATCTTGACAACCATATAAAAAGATACATATAAAATGCATATAAAAGAGACACTGCTGCAAAATATTAGGACGAGAGAAAGAGATTGTATAATTATCCATAGAGGAAAGGATAGATGCAAAGAATGTAGCCAACACAGAAGTGTTAAAAAGAGCAGAGAAAAGGCAGGTTGGTTTTAATTAATATTTTTTAAAAATGTTTTTGAATTAGATGAAGTGGGCTCAGCAGAATGACTGGAATTAGGAATAAAGGTATGGAAATGATTTGGGGTGAAAAGTGAGAGAATGCTAGAGGAGTATTGAGAGATTTGCATGGGAATACAGTGGTATCTCAAAGAGTGGAGCTGGAAGTA